CCAAATCCACTGGATGACACACATAAACAGATTCCCATAAAAGAGAATTTCTCAGAAGGGACCAAGGAACTTCTTTGGCACAAAATTCCAAAGGAAACCACAGCAGGAGGGAGGATCAGATGCGGTCACTGCTGGCAGCAGCGTCCCTCGGAGCCTCTCCTGCTCCACAGCACTCCCCAAAACGGGAGCTGTGGTGGCACACACATAATAAATGCTGGAGAATCACCCACCCAGGGTGTTCACCCACACCCCACAGTGCTCAGGGCTTTCTCCAGCCTGCCCTGTCATTAGATAAAATCGTTGTTCTCTAATTTGTCGGGTCAGCTCTAACTGCAGTTCTGTCAGGAGAGGGCGGCTGCCGACAGCATCACCAAATTGGTTGGGAGCACAATTAGCAACACAATAATCTCAGGTTTAGCCAGAGCATCACCTCTGCCCAGAATATTCTGCAAACTCTGCCAGATTTCCTTGCTTACCCTGGAAGCTTCCTTCCATTTACCAAGACAGCCTCCTCAGCCAGACAAGATCTGAAAGGAGACAAATGGATCTCTCACTGCTGGAAAATGAAAAGAGCTCGGGCTGTTGCTTTGTTGGGATTGCAGGAACACCCTCAAGTCTGCTCAGATCAGATTTTAGGGATAAATTCCTGCCTGTGAAGGTGGGGAGGAATTCCCAGAGGAGATGTGTGTGCCCCCTGGCAGTGCCCAAGGCCAGGCTGGACAGGGCTTGGAGCAGCCTGGGACAGTGGGGATGGAATGAGATGATTTTAAGGTCCCTTAACTCAACCAAACCAACCCAAACCATCCTGGAATTCTGGGATTCTATGAAATTGTATCTGGTGATTCAGGCTGGGAAGAACCTGGCCTGTTGTAGAATATTCTTGCAGGGCTGTGACAGAGCCCAGAGGCTCAGGAAATATTCCCAGGCTCTATGTTCAATATTCCCATGTTGGCCTTTCTGGCAGGGCAGGGATTTTATTCCTGTCTCCAGGGGCTGAGCTGGATGTTTCCTGCGGCAGCCAAAGCCAAGCTGGAATCCCCAGCAATAATTAACACAAATCTCCAGCGGCCAAACCAGGAAGGGAGCAGATCAGCAGCCCCTGGGGAGATAAGGAAACAAAGTCCCGTATTTTTATCTACTTTATACAGGTAGTTTGACCTGGTTTTCACCAGGACAAGCACAGGGTTTTTAGGGGAGGTCGAGGTTCCAGCAGGTCTGGAGCAGGAGGATGGTAACCCTGAGGAAGTTGGCAATTAAATGTAGTTTTGTTCCTCATCTTTTATTTTGTAGGCCTGATTTTAAGGTATTGGGAGGTTTTGGGGCTCCTTTGCTCAGTGCAGAAGGGTCATCCTGCAGCTGGTAAATGCAAGGGTTAGGTTTATAAACAAATGTATTTAACCACATGAAGTCTCTCCTTTTTGAACCCCGCTCTAAGAGAAAAGTTAATTCAAAAGTTAATTCTTCATTTCCTTATTTATTTTTTTTTGTTCACTTTTTGTTACTTTTTCATTAATTTGCTTTTCATTCCTTGCAAGGGACAAGCCAGAGGCTTCTCCTGAGTCAGGGAAGGCAGCAGCAGCAGCAGGAGGCTCGGGGAGAAGCAGAGCCTTGCCTCCCTCAGCAGCAGAGCCTGATAAATCAAACCACAGCCTCCTTTCGATTAAACTCTGTCCTACTTCTCCAAACAGAGCTGTTAATCCTGAATTCCATCAGTTCTGACTCGGGAGGTTCTTCCCTCTGGAAACACCAGCGGGGCCTGGCAGGGCCTTTGCAGCCCTGTCTTGTCTCAAGGCAAACAAGACTCGGTTATCAGCAAATCTGAAATTCATTGTGAGGCAAATCCTTCTCCTTTTGATAAGCCAGAGTGTGTCAAAGGCAAATGTGGGGCATTTATACAACAATGAACCTTCCTCCACAGCAGCTGCTGAGTTCACCTGGGGGCTGAAGGGGCTGAAGGGGCTGAGGGAGCTGGGAAGGGGCTGGAGAATTCCAGAGGGAGCTGGGAAGGGGCTGGAGAATTCCAGAGGGAGCTGGGAAGGGGCTGGAGAATTCCAGAGGGAGCTGGGAAGGGGCTCAGCCTGGAGAAAAGGGGGATCAGGGGGAATTTCTGGCTCTGCACAACTCCCTGCCAGGAGGGGACAGCCAGGCTGGGGTCAGGCTCTGCCCCCAGGGATGAGGGAACAGCCTCAGGCTGGGCCAGGGGAGGTTCAGTTTGGATTTTGAGAACAATTTCTTCCTGGAAAGGGCTGCCCAGCCCTGGCACAGCTGCCCAAGGCCCTGGTGGAGCCCCCATCCCTGGAGGGGTTTAAAAGCTGCAGGGATGTGGCACTTGGGGACAGGGTTTAGTGGTGGCTTTGGGAACACCTGGACTCAGTGATCTTGGAGATCCTTTCCAACCTAAATTCCAAGATTCAGGGACTCTGTGCCCATCACAGCTCATCAGGGGGGTTAATGACACTGTGGGACAGTTCTTTGTAAACTCCTCTCTGTAAAGAGCAGCCTCTGCAATAAATACCCTAAATTAAACTGTTGTGAGGAGCAAGTGCCCTGATCACCCAAAATCCTTTTGCCAGGATTTTTAGGGGATTGGGTGACACTCACCCCACCGCTGATCACCAGCAAAACCACTCTGACCATTTCAAACTCTGCCTGCTCAGGGATTTCACCAGCAAGTCGTGTCCAGACACATCTCAGGGCTCCAGGACAGGCCTGAAAGGGACATTTTCAATTTCAAACAAAGCCTTTGCACGGGAATATTTTAATAGCAAAGGCTAAGCAAGCATCAGTTCCACAGTCAACACCCATAAAACCAGCAGCTGCAGGAAGAGGCACTGTTGGGTTGGGAATGAAAGCGCCGCATCCCCATGGCCCCTTTGCCACCTGCACAGCTCTGTTTGTGCAAGTGCTTTAAAGAGCAGCTTTAAAGCATCGTTAAAATGTCTTCAGACAGGAAAAGAGCAGCTTCAACACCAGCTCTTACATCTGGCCCTCGAAACGCTTTGCATTCCTTGGTGGTCGGAAGGCAGCGGTGGGTGCCAGAACAGAGACACTTTGCTGAGGGAGATCGTGCCTGGGATCCTGCTGCTCCAGGGGAAAATAGGGGAAAAAGCCTTCCTGACACTTTTATTTCTCACTTAAACTGCAAAGTTATGTTCTAAAGTAGATGTTTGGTGGCGAGAGGGACACTAAATGAAGCTTTTTTTATCTCTGGGGCAGAATAGACTGCAGAAGCCTGAGCCTCGTGATCGGCAGGGTCATGTTGTATTCCACGGGATTTCAGGTTAAATCTTGAAAATACCTGTCCATCCCTACCTCTCCTTTCTGGAACCGCCTCACCTGACACCTGGAATGTGGAACCATCCCAAATCCCCTCTCCTGCCGCTGGAACACCGCGCTGAGGCTCCAGCTCCTTCCCACTCATTCCCTGGGAGCCGGGATGCTCGCAGGCACCTGCCGGCACCCTTGGCAGGACAAGCACGCTGCAGGGTCTCTGTCGCGATAGGGGGGTGCGATGTGAAGGGTCTCTGTCGCGATGGAGGGGTGCGATGTGAAGGGTCTGTCGCGATAGGGGGGTGCGATGTGAAGGGTCTGTCGCGATAGGGGGGTGCGATGTGAAGGGTCTGTCGCGATGGAGGGGTGCGATGTGAAGGGTCTGTCGCGATGGAGGGGTGCGATGTGAAGGGTCTCTGTCGCGATAGAGCGGTGCCATCAGAAGCCGCTGTGTGCGGGGCAGCTCTGGCGCATCCCGCATGACGCCAGCGCCGGGAAAAGCCAGGGAGACACGGAGCTCCAGGGAAACAGCTGGCGTCCCGGAGGTGCCAGCCAGCTCCATC